TATCCTCTTTAAGGTATGCGCAATGTCCCGTTTCTTAGACCTGGCCTCCGCATTCGCCTTAGCAAGGCTAATCTGTTGTTCCTCTGTCCAGACAGTCTCGGCTTGTTCATTCTTTGGGCGTGCTTTAAGTCGGTGAAGTAGTTGGTTCAGACTTAATTGGATGACATGAGCGAGACAGGGGACCCGGATGACGTTAAAACCAGTAGCCGAAGCCGAAGGCTCTTGTTGTAAAGACTGTTGTAGTGCCTTAACCAGAGTCTCATTATTCGATGCGTTATCGGTGGTTATTCCAAAGACTCGGTCCTTAATGCCATGTTCGGTAAGCGTCTCCATCAGAATAGCACTTAGGTTTGCACCTGTATGCGAACTGTGAAGGGGTTTAAAGCCGAGTAGCACCTCACGGTAGACCCATTCGGCATCGATGAAATAGCCAGTAATAGCCATAAATGCCTGCTGAAATGGAGATGTCCAACAGTCTAACGCAATCGAGATCTTTGCATGTTCTGGAAGCATTCTGAGTGTATCATGCTGTCGTTCTTTAACACGGCCAGACAGGCGACGTCGAATTGTATCAGCGGAGGGCACGATCGGAGGGCTTAGGGCGGATTGTGCCTAGATTCAAGACTTAAGATTTAGTTAGGTGACGAGGCAAATAGAGGCTGATTGGTAAAGACGGCGGATTTGGAGGATTTGGGCGATTTGACGCCTACGGACTGGCGTCTGACGGACTTACCTCTGCGATGAGCTCACGAAATGCTGGATTTTCAACGATTTGGAATGGAAGCCGGTTAGTAGTAATAAACTCCAAGATTTTACTCTCAAAACCTTCTTGCGAGAATGTCTGGCTATGACTACCCTGATCATGATGCTAGTTAGTAGGGTCTAGTAGAGCTAGGTATGATAGTATACCGTTTGAAGGAACCTCGTCAATTCAGCCCTCTGCCGGCGTCCACTTGTAGCCTTTTGGCAGGCTGAGGTCTGAAGATGACGGGTAATTGTTGTCGTGCCATGACGACCAACCCTCCCATTGGCATCCTTCTTAGTAGTATAAGGGTGCTCAAGAATTGCATCGCAACGCTTACACAAGACCTTTGGGTTTCCAGTCGCCGTATGGGCCACTTGCTCAAACTGTTTCCAGGTCTCCGAAGCGGAGCCATGCTGTGACTCCCAAGCGATCTTGTTTTTAGATCCATAGTCAGTCTCCAACCACCAGTTGACCCAATCAGTGTGATTCATCGCGTCGTAAAGGAAAAACTGGCCTCCTCTCCTACCAGGACCGACACGTTGGAAGCGTTCAAGGGGATCTAGGGCGATAGACGAAGGAACAGACGGCTCAACGAACGAGAAGCTATCAACCTGCCGAGAGGTGGACGGAGTAGCTGGGCAAAGAGAAGGCGTAGCAATTGACGAATTGTCGGGCTCAGTGTCGAACAGGCCCAACTGGGAGGATCTAAACTCCTGGCTTTGCGACATGATCAGGATGACAACTTGATAGTAGGTTCAAAATTGGATGAAGGGCTTCAGGGGAATAGCTTCAGGAGGAAGAAATCGACATACCTTCTTAGTGAGAGAACTGTCGACGTATCGACGCCGTAGCAAACAGATATTGTAAACAGAGATCACCGTAGCAGTCGACATTAAAACGGAATATCTTGATTCTAGCATCTGATTGGCTAGATCATGCATATGCAGTGAATTCAGCCCATCCAAAGCCCAAGAAAAGTCCATGGATAACCCATCTCCCCGCCCATTTTACAATTTGTTCGCCCAAAACATTTCACCCCATGGCTCATGAGATATCTTCAAACCTCTCTCATCTCTGTAATCCCCAGAATATTACGTTTCTGTGAAGACAGACGTTAAGTCTGAGAGATTGGCTATCTTTTGGTATAAATTTCAACTCTATAAACCTATAATTCATAGATTTGACCCTTGAATCTACAGTTCAACAGAAACATGCACCTACTTCTAATTATATGAGATATATATCTCTACATGTTGACACTTTGGAACTCTCTAAGTACCAGAATACTACGAAAACTTGGTGAAATTGGATTGTTTTTTGATGACGCCGGTAAACTATAGTGCCTACTGTAGCTGGCTTCATCTACGACCTTAATTACTATGTCGTCGCCGTTGGATCTTGAGATCTTGATTCTTGGGGGAGTTGAACCCCCGGATTGGGAGTTGAAATACTAGATCAGGCCTGGTAAAACGTCGGGCCGATGTATGCCTTGTAAAGGCTTACAGACTGGAACATGCGTAAAAAACAGGCATTAATCAGCGGTTTTATGAGCGCCAAGATCGTAGTTATGCATAGAAATGGGATATATTGGGGGCCTCATGGGCCCCCACTCATGGGCTATGGGTTGGGGCGGGCTATAGAGGTTAGGCCCACAGCCCACTGCTGGTTGGGCTATGGGCCTAAAGGTCGGGCCCATTTATGGGCTTTGCGGAGGTCTAGTGACGCCTTGGTCTTATCTCCGATGCGGCGATAGAACTCCCAACAGGGATGTTTCACATTGGGGATGGGCTGCGCCTAATTCCAACAGCATGAAAATAGGCAGTGTTCGTGTTTTGGAGCACAAAAATTTGCGCGAACAACTGATATAGCACAGCAGAGGGCGCGACAAATCACTCACACTACCAAGATGAATGGACTTTCCTTGCAATCAAGCTCGCAATCGAATGTCCATACCTGTTATTGGTATTACTCCACCTAAGGTATGCTGGCTAGTCTTAAGCGACGGGACCAGGAAAGATGTGTAGGCCATGGCTTGTGCAGAGCACTAACAGGAGTGCGGTAGCCTCGGGGGCACTCTAATGCGATGTCCTTGGTTCACTGTCATTCATTAGCTTTCAGATCGGCGAGATAGTGCATGACTCACATGTTCTGGTGGCCAAAACTAGGGACGAAGAGACGGCAAAAAGCTGTGGCCCTTGCGCTCGTGCCTTGTTGTCGAATTTCCTCGGTTATATTTAAATCGCATCGACTTCAGGATCAGTAGAATCCAGACAAGACAGGCTAAGATTCACATAACTGCGACGCGGGTATTCGTGCTTTCTCTTGGGAATACACACAGAGGCTGTACAGTAGATCAGCTCAGTCGGCTGCTGTGGCGGAGGCATCTTCGCATAGACATCTTTAATCGGCTAGTGTGGATAGCAGTGCATCTGGTGGGAATCATACCTGTATCTCTCACAAGCACTGTCTGGCTTGCTAATCCACGATGTATTCAATGAATGTCAATACAGTGGCAATTTCAGTATGGGATCAATGGGGAAGAACTTCTCAAGTGGCTCAGACACAAGCCTTCTCGAATTTGCAGAGTCAGGAGAATAAATTGTAGAGCAAATTGCCGGGGTAGAGGACGTATTTATAGGCTTATCGGCTTCCGCGACTTACAAGCTCGGTACCTATCCTAATTGAGGTCCATTGAAACTCATGTTTTCTTTTTGCCGCAATATTTGCAGCGACATCCTTGATGCCTTGAGATGCTCAGCGAGAGAGACGAGTAAAAGTGGTGTTGAGAAAAAGGATGCTGAGTTGGTCAAGAAACGTTGGCTGACTGTTGAATCTTTCACAGCTCTCTAAAATTCAGGCACTGAGTACTATTCAATCCGCAATGGCAGGCTCATATTTCTTGTTCTGATACCTCACCTGTGAGTGACTCAACGTTGAATCACCGGAAAGCGCCTACAATTTCGTCCCGAGAAGTATGTATTTCTTTTTCTTAACCTCGCTTTAGTGTGGTGTTGGTTGTGTAGAGCTATGAGTCTGTCCGTCTAAACTGCAGAAAGCGAGGTCGTTCGACCGTCAACCCGTTGAAGCTTTGCCACGCGTTGTCAACACTCAATTTCCGAACTTGCGACCATGAAGACACGCCTATTTTTTTTTTGTTTTGTTATCTTTTTCAACTTCTTTTTTTGGTGACTATGAGTTCTACAATATTCCATTTGTCGGATTTCTGAGGCGTTCAACGAAACGGAAAGAAGTGTCTGGTTGAAACATATATCCTCAACAATTTTGAAATGTCTGACTATGACGGTTCTCTTTGTTGAGATTCCTGCATGAATAACGTGGTCTGCAAGCGAGTGGGCCATCTCAAAACACCATAATAAATGCGATATATTACAACGTTATATCTCAACAACCACGTCTTTGTTCTATTTCATTTCTGGTATATAGCTATTGGTAAGACTTGTCAACGCTATATATCATTTTGACAAACTAAAGAAGCGGTCAAATACCGCTATGACCTTTTGGGATAGGCTTGTTCATCGTTCACCCAATTTCCCCTAGTATTTGTATGGTATTCGGACTAAATTCGGATACGGTGTCACAACACGCCAGAGCACGGACAGTAGGCTCCAGAGATCGCTCAACCGATCTACAGACCTTCAATCAATCATCAGATTCTATTGGACATGTGCAGTACTAGCCAGTACATTAATTCCTCATCCTGTCACCAACCATTCTAGGCCCAGACCAGTCTTGAGATAGCCAGATACCCACGCTGTCACAGTGAGGGCTGGTGTCATTGGCTTATCAGCTGAAGAGTGGGTCCCCGCAGTGGTCTTCAATTCGATGATGGTCTACACCCCTCCAGCAGCTGCTTTCTTTTCAGCAGTGCGCTAATTTCCTCGAGAGCCTCGCAATATAATCTCCAAACTTTGAAGCAGCCCCAGTGATGCGATCATGGTCCGAATGACACGTCATGGCTTGGACATTCTGCAACTGCTTTGCCATTACTCGCGTTATTGACGACCACAAACTCGCCAACACGTCGCAAACTACCCTGCACTTGCATGCATAAACCGCTTCACTGTTTCTTCCCCTCATCACGAGTTTCGGTTTGGTGGCTTCTGATGTACGTGGAGCGAACGCCTCTGTGAGATAATCACGAATATATGTCTTGTCTTCTATTAGAGAAACTGGAGGCCGATCAAGTTTTCGGACTCTGCACGCCCTCGCCAATTCATCTTAGCCATTCTTTGTCATGTCTCTGATCGACTCATCATCCTTGAATCCAGGCAAGCATGATATCCTGCCTTTGGTCAATAGTGGTAGCCTAGAAGGCTTCATCAAATATATGGGTATACTGGCGTCAAGCTCTGAATCTCAATTTGCATCTGCCGTGATTGGTGAGATTACTCAACAGCGTGAGCAGATCCACTCTCAAGATGAAGAGTTGAAGAAACTTCAAAAGGAGATTCTTTATATACAGGAGACAAAACGAACTACCATCAACGATATGCTCACTGCCAACGAGACAGAAAGAGCAAAACAGACAGACTCCGCGACGCAGATCGAATCTCTTCATGCTACTGTAGACGAAAAGGAAAGTAAGATTGCTGAATACTCCAAGGATTTGGAGGGTCTGCAGCAGGAAGTGGCGAACTTGAAATCGACTTGCTCGCTGGAGATCGCTAAAGTCTCACAATCCGCCGAAGACATTAGTACTCTGCAAGCCAATTTGAAAGAGAAGGACAAGATGATAGACCAAATGAAGACAGCACGATCGAAATTAAAATCAATGTTATCATCACAGCAGAAAAAGAACGAAGATCTGGAAACTGCTAATGCCTCGATGAGCACAGAGCTCCAGGCAGTCAGAGCTCGTATTCAAAAATTGGAAGACTTCCCTGTCCAATCCTCGGACATCGATGACGACTTTGTGTAAGTCGTGTCAAATGATTGCAACCATTCGTGAACTGATTGTTTCCGCGTTTTATCACAGGACGACGAAGTTCGCAAGACTTTGGCACTTTGCTACAACCGAGTTATCCCCATTTCTAGAACAAGATGTTCCGGAAGATATTCTAAAGGTCTGTTTTCAGACACCTTTGGTCACGCTCGTTATGTACTGATAGAATAAAAAGGAGAAACCCATATGGGACAATATTAGGAAGGTAGACAACATAATTCTACCACCAAGCTTTCCTCTGATTCCCTCGAACTCCTCGGCAGCCAAAGCGGTACGATTTGCATTGATCCTGGCTGTTCTGTTCAGAGAGATCAATCAACGGATATTCCAGCCCAGCTATTTTATTTCAGAGGGCAACAATCTTCGTGAAGCTCTCGAACATCTTGCAGAGAGTAATGGCGAGAGAGAAGCATTTTGCCGTCGCATACTTCTCTCCATTGATCCGTGCGCCGAACATGACATTCTTAAAGCTGAAATTCGAGCCGTTGTTCAGAGAATGTCCTCGTATGCAGGCAGCCTCTTTCCCGAAGCGCAGCACGATTTGTTTTGCACAAAAGTCAAGACTATAGTTCAGAACGCGGCCGAAGTTTGGCTTCCAATTCAGCGATCGCAGAAGAAGTTCGAGACAGACTTCGAACCTTTTGATCCCGAGGACAATGAATGGGATCGCTTCCCTTCTGCTGGTAAAACTACAACACCGGTGGCACAAGACCTTCAGGGTCTTTATCTTCTCAATGTCTTCCCCTGCATCTCCTTGGTGGAAGACGGCGACCATGATCCATTGACTAAGATCATTCAACTCCGCAGTTCCCAGGAATTATACTTGGCAGCGCAGCATGAAGCCACTCAAACCTCAACCTCTGCCAACACCAGAAGGTATTCTACCCGCCCCAGGAGGCAATCAACTGCAGGCTCAAATGGGAAGCCTTTTTTAGGTGGAAATTTAACCAACGGCTGACTGATGGGTTATGGAGAATGGGTTGGAAACGCTGACAGCTCTGGAGACTGAAAGGAAGTATAATGGATATGAGAATGGCATTTGAGAATTATCAGCAATGGCACTCTATATGAACATTTTTGGGTCATACTCTTTCCACTGTTTGCATTCCCCTGTGTAAAATGATGTCTAAGGTAGCCTCAAGCCGTATCTTGGCGAAATGCCGCAATTATCTTGGCAGAGCTTCGGTTGAGAAGAATACGTGAGCATTAGAGCACCAACTGGCCGGTGCGTTCGGGGATTTGGAGCCCCACTCCGAAGTCAGGAACGTCATCATTGGCCAGGATACCCCTAGGTTCGATATCCTTAACCGTAGTGCAGTGGGGTCTTATTCGACCACACTGGGAATACCGAGATACTCTACCGATGTAACCGTGGCTTATAGACGGCGGTCCTCAGCCAGACAGCCACGCTGTCCCAGTGAGGGTTGATTTCATTGGCTTATCATCTTGCTGTAGGAGCGGGTCTCTGCAGTGGCTTTCATTGGGCCATAATAACAGCGCTGCAGACGCTAGACGGTGACTGAAAGCAGAGCTCGGGCCTAGCCGGTCACTATAAAGAGCCATGAGAATCCTCTTCTGTAAAAAGAATATCGAGAATCTGTGCTCTCTCTGCTATCCTATTATTGAATTGAACAATATCGCCGCCTTGGGCCGATATCTTCGTATCTCTGAATACTCTACATAATGCGGCTTGCATTTCATAATTAAGTTTTCCCTCCTTTAGACAAAGATTGTTCCAATCCCTAACAATTGCGCAGAGTCCTGCAATCTGATGTTGTTCATTTTTTCGTTGGTAAAAATCAAAAGCGGTTCTCAATTCACCAGGCATTGGAAAGTTCTTTTCCAAGAAAAGCTCTTGAACCAGCGGTGATCGAGAGTATCGATGAGGAAGTTTTTGGTCGTTGCTGTGAGTTTGTATACTCTGGGGATTACTCTGCACCATGTCCCGTTCCGCAATCTCCCGGGAAGGATACTTCGAAGTCAGAAAACAGCGAAACGCAATGCAAGGAAAAGGCGAACAGATGGGATTCTTCTAGCCTAAATAGGAATCTCTTCCACCCAGAGGTGCTTTTGCTTAACTATGATATACTGCTGGCAAGACTTGGCCATACACCACGATCGGGATCTGAGAAGGACTTAAGCAATGACCCTTTCACGAGCTATGCAGCTGTGTTTCTATGTCATGCTGAAATTCATCGTTTTGGAGTCAGAACAGGCTGGTTTGCACTTAGTGTCCTATCTTACTATCAGTTGCTACGATTGCTCGAGAATTTTACTCTATTTGAAGAACGAACGGGAGACATCGTTCAGCTATTGGTATTTGCTTTTGAGGATAGGGAGTACATGGGGAATTTGGAACTCATGCTGCGAGACTACATGGTCTGGAATGTGGAGATTCTGATGCGGAATGCCGACTTCAGAAGTTTCCTGGGGCGAAACTTGTCGTTGGAACAGACTGTCTTTCGTTCAATGTGGAAATAAAGGTGAGTTTATAAATTGAATGTGCTGCGATCTCTATACCATCTTCCGTACATGTGGAGATCAGATTGAACTCACTGACTAATATGCGCTAATACAGTCATAACTAACTAGCCAATGGTTTTAGTGTGTCAGCCCGAAAGGCGCAGGCCCCCAAAGAACCCGCATTCAGCTGTCCCTGTTTTATGCGAGGGAGCAATTAGGTCAAATGCAAACAAAAGCTATCATCTATCAGCTCACAATACACAAAACGTACACATATTTTCGGGGTGAGGGCTAGCCGAGAACTGATAAAAGTTAGCAGAAAATGGTCCCATGCACTCTTCGAGCATCGCTCCGTATGTTTCCACATCATATTCCAAGGCAACTACTCCACAGTCCGTGCACGCACATCACATATCATATGTGGGTTCGAGTCAATTTCGAAATAGCCTGGATCATTATATCTCCTTTTATATAAGTATTTCGAATTTGGAACCCAGAGAGTGAGCATTACCACCCCATCGGCAAGAACCAAACACCGTGAACATCCAGTTATTGTACCTGTTGTATGCATCACTAGCATAGAGCTAAAGCTGCATGACTTCGGTAATATACACGTCAAACATTGCACTCTACTGTCTTCATGTGCCCTCTTCTGATAAGTTTCATGATATTCCCAAGGGAGGCAAAGCGCTGAGTCCGCTTAGAATGGCATAGGAACTAGCTAGCGAGATCGAGTTAGGCCTAAATTACACTATAACACCTGGGGTACTGCAATTAGACGCCATTGGCCAATTATTATGCATTGTAGATTGTGCTAGTCTATGCCGCTAAGGACCATGCTAATTGTGACAAAAGGATGGACGAGGGGATACGGTTCTTTGGCCAGATAGCATCAACAAAGCACCTAAGAACAGTTGGCATTATTGCTCCCCGGGAATGGAATACATCCATTTCCAGGTTTATTGCAACGGTGATCCTATTGTGCCGGTTAGCATTCTGTATCTCCATTCTGTATAACTTTCGAACGAAGTCATCGCCCGAGTCTTTTCCCTTCCGCCGTCGGGCGCAGAGAGGTCATGACACATACATCTTTGCAATCGTATGATCCGTGGTCATCTCCATTTCCAACGCACCTTCCCGGACCCATTGTTACACAGGTATAGTCCTATTAAATTGGGGTAAGTTAGCTAGTACTTTGATTACAAGAAGTATACTGACTGAAGGTTCCGCATCAACAGCCCCAGAACAAGGCGTTGGCGTTGGTTGAGCAACCTCGCAGTTCTATTAATATTAATTTGTTAGCCATTATTTCTGTAGGGAGACTATAGAAAATGAAGATAAGTTAGGGTTGTATACCCAATAGCCGAAGGCGGCGGAGAAAACAGAGAAGAATGCAACCGAAGAGGTGAATCTCATTGTGGATTTTGGGACTCTTAGGATGACCAGGAGGTACAAATATTCGTCCCTAATGAAAGGTGGATTTTTTTATCACTTTATAGGAAAATCGGATGGTCAGGAGACATCGTACCTGTGCGGAGTAATCCAGTAGCATGTGAGACACACGGGCGAGTGAGACGCCCCAAAATACCATATTGAAGGGTGAGGCTACTCTGCGACCCTTTGGCTTCTCGCACGAGTCACTATACCGATTTTGGATATGCCACCTAAAACAGACTATGTATAATCCATATATAAGAGTCTCTTTGGCGCCAGATTTAAGGGGCAAAATGTCCTTCCTAACTCTGTGGCATACATTAGTGCGTCTTAGTGTGCATTAGTGCGACCCACTCAACCCCGGCGGTGGATCATCCTCATAGATTGTCACTTTTATTGGCTTTATAGCCTCGCATCGCCCTTCCCCTAGGACATCCTGGGAATTATTGAGGTACCCGAGCTCATGTAAGGGTTGCCTGCAGCCCGACGACACTCGCTTTTGTTACATGGGGCACAGACTTCACCCAGTAAGATTGCACCCACAATGACGGAGCACACCACGGTAATGCACCTTACTATAGAACTGCGCGAGTTATGGCAAATTCGGAGTTTTCAATTCTATGCAATTGACTCTAATGAATCCCTCTACGTCGGTATTTCTTCAATAATACAGTAGTAGCTCGACGGTTTTGCCTTGCGCCCAGATCGCCTAGATTTTCGACGCAATGTTGTGGCGTCAACTCGGTGATCGAGAGACCATTAACCAAGCTTACTGTTTAAAAGCGTATTTGACCCTCCAAATATTCACTTTAGGACCCACTACCGAGAACTTTTTCTTGATACTGGGGCGATGGAAAGGAGCGAATAGCGTACTGCTTAGGGAGTCAAATTTTAATTTAGGTTTTTACTGGGAATCATTTCTTCCTATTGTGAGACTTGAGAAATTGGGACTGGTAAAGAAAAATAAGCGAAGTCGGTACCTTCGCCCCTATATAATCAGCGTCGCCGAAGCAAACCGGACACATACTGCTTCTCTAATTCAAGTTGTTCTCTGGACACCCCAGGTATTCAAGGAAAAGAGAAACGTGATCGTGCTCAGTGAGCAGGAACATGATCTATCCTGAGTGGCCCACCGGGCAGACTTTATCCTGTACATATGCAGTTGTGTTTGGTTTCTCTGTTAATTGTTTGTTTTTATTGGGACATATCAACATGTCGTCCGCTGATTTATTGGCTTGACTTGAATGTTTCATTTTTCTTTTCATATTTTTAGTTCTCACGGTTGCCCAACTATTCAACCTCTTAGAGTCATCGAGCGTTCTTGGATTTTGGCAGTCATCAAATTTAATCTAGTCACTCGTTTCTCTCCATCATCAAATTTTGCAAATCCTATAGTATATGAGTTCTTCAGCTGATAGCTCACATTAAAATTATTGAAATGAGGAAGATCGTTATATACAGCTCTAATGGTATGGCTGAGTCCAGATCTCGGTGGGACCGAACAAATAAAGCAGAACCAAGGTCCAAAAATTTTCAACACAAATCGAATAGAAAGCTCTAGAGGATATTTTTGCTGACAGATGCTGCCAACTGCTTCATTTTCCCGCTGCTTGTGCTCGCGCGCGGGATTCGTATGGAACTTCTCTGGTCTATATTCTTGCTGGATACGGCAAACGCGATTTCATTCCAAATCGGAAGTAAACGGATACCGACTCAATGGCTTCGTTGATTCATGGCCGGCCTATTCTTGTTTTGAAGTCCCTGCATCGGATTCGGGCATCGCCAGCGACTGCGCACGCGATGCACATCAGAGGCATGGCGCTGGAACGCCATTCGATGTAGCAAGCCTACTTCACACCAGTTGCATTTGAGTGGTTCTTCTTTAAGATGAATAGCATCAAAATGGCGCGTAACACACCCGGGATCATGAAACATCTGAAAGCGAACCTTGTCCGGAAGCCCTTCACTTGCGAAGCATTGAAAGCATGCCTCTGGCTACTTAGCAGTTTCGAGGAACTCCCTGGTGGCACGTAACGGCTTGCCACATACAGAGGCAGGTACCTTGCAGGAGTCGATATCACTTCGGGCCTGCTGTAAATCCTTCGGCTGGGCTATCGGTCCAGTCGGCGAAGCAGATTCAGGAGCTTTCTGTTTAGGCCGGACCCTCAATGGGCCTCCTTCAAGGACGTCACAATACTGAACAACCGCTGCACTACCTGTATCGCGCCGATGCCACTCATCCTCCAACGAGTTAGAAACAGGGTAGGAAAGAAGACTGCACGAGATGCAACGAAGGGGGTGCATAGTGTCTTCCAAGGGTGAGTCTTCGCTCTCTTCCTTGACTGCGGTACCCGACAGCTGCGCCTCGATATCCAGGTAGGCTTGCTCTTCATCAAATTTCTCTCGGATCTCATGCCGTAAGCTCCGGTGCAACCTTTTTCGCGTATTTCTCACCTCCTTCTCCCGTTGCTGGAGTCTAGGAAGCAGGCCGGGTTCCTGGGTCTCCTCGTACTGCGCGCGGATATTGTCTAGATTGCGCCGTGCCTCTTCCAACTCAGAATGTTCTTCAACCTGTGCCCTTTGTTGATCGGTCAAGTAGCGTGGGCGTCGCGTGTCTCGCCAACGGCTTTGCCGTGTAACAGCTCGCATCAGTTCCACATCCGGGTCAAGGCCACAGATCACCCGGATCATGTCAGTGTCGATTTGCAGGGGATGATAGTGGTTGAGAAAGGTGCGGGGGCTGGCATGCTTCATGATCAACATATGTTGCTCCTTGCTCACCCACCCTGCGGAGTACATCAGCCACCAACTTGACAAGACACATCAAATTCACAATATCCATGGAAGAACTCACCACTCTCGTTAATCACTTTACCACTTCCATACCGGAACTGATGGGCGTGAAATGCCCCTTTCGCGAATCTCGCCAAATGTGACTAGCAGGGTGGAAATCGCAGACTTGGGCATCTGTATAGTCCGTTGAATGGTTGGAACGCCCTTGACCAACTCTGTTTTGCAAAAGATATACCATTCAGACTTTTTCGGATCTAAAGGCACCAGGAGCTGCTCACAGCTTTTGCTGATGAAAAGTTTCCGCAGCTGAGCCTTCGAAGTCAGCCCCTGATTCCGGAATGCCCGCGCGTGAAACAGGACGCCAAAAAGCAATGTGTGCGGGCATATCACCAAAGACGGCCCGTAAACGATCTCGGGAAGTGCAAAAGTCGTTCTGTTCATAGGTTAGCTGCATCACCCTAGTCAGCCATTCCGGAGATGACAAGAAGATCTCAAGAGATATTATATATCCGGAGTTGAATGGGGAATTGAGAGGGAGAGACAGAAATTGCGATTGCCGTACAATTTGGTGAGACCGAGAAACTTTTTAGTCCCTTCGGGAGTAAGTTCGATCATAGGGACGGGTGGGCCTCCACAGGGATCCTTCTGGAGGGAGATCTGCAGGTCCTTAAACTGCAGACTCAGCAGGGCGCTTTTCCGGTGCAGCGTAAAGATACCGAGAGAGTTGAACAAACACACTTGGATACGCTGAAAGCCTAGATGGAACTTCTTCTCTTGTGTCGACAAGATCGTTTCATTAAACGGGCCGATATCCTCGATATAAACCGGTGTCTTCTTTCCAGGCTGCGTGTCCAAGCCAAACTCCTGGACCAAGTACTTCATACCCTATAATCAATGGTAAGTCAAGGATATCAAGTTGGATCGGGATAAATTTGGAGGCATAATGACCCTTCGTATCTCTGAGCCATCTTCATCTTTGATCACAATATTGGTGAGCTCTTGATAGTAACAGCGAAGGTTTTTCCAGTCGGTCTCGAATGTGCTAGCTTTGTTGATGCCCTTTATATGTCGACCATCCTCGCCTCGCTCGAGCTGGAGACACCAGCGTAGGAAACGATACATATCATTGTTCGACGCCTGGCGCAGCGCCTCCTCGGCCTCGCGCCATTTTGGCTCATTGGGCCTGTTTCGTACTTGGCTAACACAGTACCTGTATCCGCGTTAGCAATCTCCCCGTCAACGCCTCCAGTAGCGATGTACCTCATTGGGTCACTCACCTTTTCCACCGACTCTCAATCCGCTCTCGTCGTTCAATAGTACCCGGTGCTTTGTCAAAATCCGCGGGGATTTCAGAGAGATCTACCCCACCCTCATCCAGTGGGTCCTCGTAGAGCTTTCCAGCATCATAAGAGACCTCCGGCTCCAAGGCAAGGTTCTCGTCGGGTCGGAGACGTTTTCGTGGGCTGAAAACGTCTTCCAGCTCCGTCAGATCCGTCTCATATGTAGCATCGCCCCGCTCTGAATCGCTAGAAGTAGCCACAATAATGTCATCCCCGCCAGAGTCGCTTTCCAGCTTTCTAGTCCGCTGGCGTCGAGAACGCTTCATGGTCGAACTCAACGGATTTGAAGGGACGGCGAGGGTGTGGAGGTTGAGAAATGAGACTACAAGACCGCGAAATAATGAAGTGGCTGGTAGGTCACGAGTAGACGGTCGGTGACTGATTTCTTTGGTACTGTGCACCCACAGCAGGGAGAGCAGAAATAACAGACCAAGGATGCACGAAGAAGAGAAGAGAACAGACGATGGGCAAAGAAGTATTCTCAGTGGAGGGGGAGGGAAAGCTGGGGGTAGATTGCGATCTTGATTCTAGCAAAAGGGTGGTTAAGCAGAGCGGTTAAGCAAGGTGGTTCAACTAAGTGGTTAAGCAGAGCAGTTAAGCAGAGCGGTTAAGCAGAGCGGTTAAGCAGAGCGGTTAAGCAAAGTGTTAAACAGAGCGGTCGGGTGGAGTGGTCAAAAACAACGGTCAGGATCTGAACTAGCGATAAATTACTAACCGGGTCATAGCGTAGAAAAAGAAGAGACATTGCCCGGTACATGTAGGAATGCTGTCATTGCGACAAGCTTTCGTTCATATCCCGCGGAAACCTGCGGTATGCAGTTCTTCTTCATCCTCAAGGATTCGCGACCAAATTGTACGGGTTAACAAAGCACACAGTCAAACCTGGGATGACTGGGGGATTATCCGGCTCTGGCGATCAACCGCACGGGCTTGTTCACACGCATGAACCATGGAATAAATGACGGAATCAGCCGCTGATATGATCTGCAACTTCTGTATCCAAATGCGGCCGTCACTGCCGCATGAAAATTCGGATTTTCACTATCACATTTAGCGGTCACGTAGTTTCCTATTGGCTATGCTCTGTATTTATCCCGGTTTGATTTGAACAGAAAGCACAACGGGAGGGGGGGCGGACTATTGTCTCGATTCCCCGCCCAATCAGTAATTTCCCACGCCCCTCTCTGAATTGGAGGCAAGATCACGGAAAAAAACCACCCGCATTAAAATTTATACTTTGATAACGGTTTGGAAGCAGTACGAGTATTGTACTCCGCTTCAAAGAGGTCAGATCCGGGATTCGTGCTTCCCTCAAACTGTATACTTTACTCCGGCCAGAGCATCATGTTAGAACACAGGAATATGAAGTACCAGTCACTGTAGCTTGAACGCGATCCGCAGAGCGGAAAGAAAAATCCAAATCAATATGATGGTCATACACATTCCAGCGGGCGAATGGAAAGCTATCTCGGGGTCAACACACGTGATGTCAACGAACAGACTTATAAGTAGCGCTGTCGGGACCTCTGCTTAGCACCTTGAACCTCGCAGTCTCCTTTTCATAAACTGGTGTCACATTGCCATGTTTGTCCTCGAATAAACGGCGGTCGTTGGTATTTATTCTTATCTTACGTACCCACCGGTTTCTAGCTAATTTTTCTTCAAATCGATTAACGTTCGAGATGGACTCCAACGCTGCCACTGTTGAAGGCACTGGCCATAACGTCAGAGAAAATGACTGGTTGCTGAACAGTCTACCAAAAATGAGACTCGTGTATTATGAGCATTTCAAGCCTTTTCATGACAAGCTGTCTTCGGTACTTCAGCGCTCGCGGTCACATTTCACGGCACTGGCCGAGCGAGAGAGCTTTGCTGCATTTCTGAGTGTTCCCCTTATAAGCGACGTCCCAGTGAAGAAAATCGAAGGGATGTTTGAGACACCAAAACCGCGTGTGCTTCTGCTACAGAACGACGAAGCCAGTGCCAATATCAATTGGTTGGACGTTGTCAAGGAAAAGAATTATCAGGCCGAATATAAAGGGAATGGAAATTACCATTTCCATATGCTGGACTGGGGCGTGATTGTCCAGTTGTCTGCTTTCCAACACAACATGATCCTTTCAGGATTACCCCGGAAGCTTGTCCAACCTTGGTCCTACGAAAAGGACGTGCAGACAGAACTAAGCACCTTGGCGCTGGCAGCCGAAATGACATCACTCGAGAACCATCTAGCGTCGGAAGGTAAGCCAACCCGAGCATTATCCTAATTCTATTCACTCGCTTACATCACCCGCAGTGATCAAAGTCAATAACACTGTGCTTGAAGAGATACTGAGAAGACATCGAGATCTCCGCCGCCGCCCGGAGCCAAACCAGAGATCGGCGGGCTCTCCCTTTCCCCTGGAATCAGCCGAAGAGCCAGCACACTTGACGCCAACGCAGGTTGAAGCGAGTTCACTCGATGAGAATGCTATCGAGACTCAAGGAACTGACTTGCAAGCCAGTGGTTCAATACAGGGTGCTGGAACACGGAACTGTAAGTAATGCACATGAGAAACGTGGCATTAAAATTGAAGAGATTGAAGAAATGTAACCATTGGAATGTATCAGTCGCTAAAAACAGGGCTTGGCCTCCAGAAGTATTGAAGCGGCTTCCTATATGGTTCGAAGACCAAGTAAGGAAGAACCTGTCACAGGAAGAGATCGCCCAAAATTTCCACCAAACATTCTAGCAAAAACGGACTTTCCATGCTATTGAGGCAAGAGTGTATTTCTTAACAGGGAAGAGTCCTTTCCGGAAGCGCAATAAGAGGACTTCGCGCAAAGAACCTGTATCTTTGACACCTCGCTCCTCCTCACCGCTTTCTCAACCCTTTGAAGTGGACTTGACCCAACAATTGATCTCGAGGTCGAACATCGAGGTTCACGCGTTACGTCTAGCCCCAAACCTGCTACCCTACCTGAATTCTGACGACTGCGAGGATGGAAGCCTTTACGCCCTTTATGATGTTCAACCGGTTGACCCTGAATCAGAATCCAGCGGCCCCCATGCAGTACCTGAAGAGGATGCTGCAAATCAAACGTCAAGCTGCCGGTACTCATCTCAAGGGCATGAAGTTCCGTCGGGTACAAGTCAAAATGAATAGCGAGTTCAAGGGAGCCCTCAGGCTGGAGACCCGCCTAAAACCCATCCGGTGTTCTCAGATCTGGTGCCCGAGAGTCAGCCAAGGAATGATAATACAATCAATGTCCTCGCCACAACATCAGGGACGGTTGATTCCTACTTGCCGCGAGGCTCTCCCTTAGGATCCCCTCGGACATCAGAACCTATCCAATCTCCTATTCGGCATCACTCTGACGGCGATACCACACTTGAAGAGCTGGGCCAAACGCTTATCCATGGTACTGAGTCCAGTGCAATGCACGTGCAACAAACAGACACGCCGCATGACAACCAACCATCAGGGAGAATTTCTCCGCAATTTTCACCACATGTAACTTCATTTGGGGGGGGGGGGGTGTGTGGCGTAAACAGTAGTGCGTCACTGGTTAGGTCTTACGCGAAAATGCTAGCTGGGGTCCTAGCACGGAACGTAGGGACTGCGGGTTCGAATCCTGTCACTTTCACAACTTTTACCCTAGAGGCACCTACCGAAGAAAGCCTACGCCTTGGTTGACTTGGCTAGGACCTGGATGGTAGACCCGGGGTAGGGGTAGCTACTGCGGTACGCAATAAAAGGCGGGTGGGGAAAAACTGTCACCGGTCTAGCCTTTCAGCTTACCTTCCGAAGTACTAGCCGTTTAACTCGGGCCGCTAGGAAAGAAGGATGTCCCCTCTGTGGTAGCTAGATTGAGAAAAGGTGTAACAGTTCTGCAAAGCTCAACAAAGTACGATCTGAGTTCCGGGGGCGCCCTGGATTGCATTGAACAAAAATACAACATACTGAACAATTGGTCACTCGGTCGCTTTAAAGCACTAGGACAGACCGTCCGGTCATTTCTATTGGGAATTCGGCGTTAAATGATAGGTTCTATTTGGGACTGTTGCGTGAGAGCCCCTTGCGTCGGGCCCACGATATCCCGTGCTGGACATCGCACACAAATATCGCCTGGCCTTCCCCTCCCTCGAAAAGAACATCGCCGTTTCGAGGGAGAGCCGGGCTCTCTCCGCGACGGTTTCTTCCCGCCCACCGCGGAACCCCCTCATGTATATACCACGTATGCTCCCGCATAGTTATTTTTCCTCCTAGAATATACGGAGTGCCACGGGCCCGCCTGCAGCCCTCACGGCGCTGTAGCCCTCCGTCAACGAGGCCTGCATCGCCAGTGTTCAGACCGCAGGTGCCCCGTGCGGGCCAAAATATCTCATCCGTCTCCATTTGTGCCTGTGTAGCAATGGTTAGAATAGAAGAAGGTTTCTTGTGGTGCCAGTCCGGGTGCACCGACCTACATAGCTTACCGCACGCTTAGGCAGGCTCCATTAGGTATAAGAAATATCATCATCATCATCATCATCGTCATCATCAATCTACACCTCTTTCGAGACACAATAATATCTTGTCTGATGTTTGTTCCCAATTCTACCTCGAACACTTGTTACCTCCTTTCCGACTTGACCTTTCAATAACTGATACAGAATCGCTCATCTAGAAACCCGAAAACCCACTCTCAAGCGGTTTTCAACTGAATTTGGAGAGAAACTACTCCGTGAGAAAATCCTTGCTATGCGTCGTTCTAGCGACAAGGTGAGCAGCTCACCGAAGACGGACAAGTAGTGGAACCATCCAAATCATTGACAGAGGGCTTCTCAATACGTTTCAAAACAACTGTACAAGTTCATTTAGCGCCGTACAACTAGCAATTGCATGTAGGAAGATTTTGTGAAATTTCGTCTTTCCAGAAAAATAGCAGTAAAGGAACTTTTTGCATGCTTCAATACATCTAGAAGGCCTCAGCTCTATAAGAAAAGCAAGTAACCAAATATCAATACATGAAAGGAATGTACTGCATTAAAGGGAAAGAAGATATATGCCAAGTCATCAAATATATGCCGAGGGAACTTCATCCGTTCCATTATCCGAGCCCTCTCTCAGCAAAACCAAACATACAAAAATGATCAGGTTTGAACCTCCACAAGCAGATTAGAATTATAATAAGATATCTACAGACAGGACAGAGGCAGGGACGACAGACTCCCAAGGGGGGGATGTGCACGGAGTCCATGAGACCACCCCGCCTACCACTCCCCAAGGGGCGAAGGTCATTTTGTCATGAAAAGCAGAGAAACGCAAATAAAAAGTTAAGGAAATTCTTTCTCAGTGGGTATGAGTTGAGAAACAAGTGTATTGTTCCGTTTACTCGTCGCAGCCACAAACGGTGGCGGTGACGGTAGCGGTAACGGTAGTGACGGAAGAGGCCACGGCCGGGGCGGTAATGGCAGGGACGCTGCCAGAGCCAGTCTCGCAAGGAACAGTGGCGGAGATGGTGGTCTCCTTGGTCTGGGTGTAAGCCCAGCTCTCAGTCCACGAGCCGCCGGTGGCAGCGGGTCCGCTGGGGAGGACGGCAGTGCCGGTAGGGCTGACGTCAGTGTTGGAGGGGGCGGGGCCGGAAGCACCACCGGAGGGAGCGGGCATGCCGGGGATGACGGTGCTGGAAACGTCAACGCCAGTGAGGATATCACAGGGGGTGGCCTGAGGGCCGGAAGGAGCAGGGCCCGAGGGAGAAGATCCAGAAGGAACAGGGCCGCTGGAGACGGAGCCAGAAGGCGATGTACCACCGGGGATCACAGTGCTGAAAACATCAACGCCAGTGAGAGTGTCACAGGGGGTGGTTTCAGGACCGGAAGGAGAAGAGCCACTGGGAGCAGGCCCGGCAGGGAGAGAGACAGAGACGCTAGCGCCGGGGCCGCTGGGGACGGAACCAGTTGGGCTGACCCCAGAGGGAGCAGAGCCGGAAGCACCACCGGAGGGAGAAGATCTGAAGGGAGCAGGGCCACTAGGGATGGAGACCGAGGCGCTGGTGCCGGGACCGGAGGGGATACCAGTGCTGAAAACGTAGGAGGTGCTGGAAGGCACGCTGGGGACCCAAGACGACTTGATGCCGGAGGGAGCACCGGGAATGGAGCAACCAGTGAACCACTCGATGATAATGAGCTGGATGTTGACGTCAATCTCAAGGCCAGTGCAACCACCGATGAAGGCAGCGAGCTCAGCGCGAGCAGACAGTGAGATAGACTCGAGGCTGCCACCGGAAAGGATGACGGAGAGGGCAGCACGGAGGTCGACGCTGAGGCTGGAGAGGAGCTCGGTGAGACCAGTCACATCAGAAAGGACACCGCTGACGAGGTCAACGGAGACGGAGGCATCAACACCGAAGGACAGCCAGAAGAGAACGACGGCCTTGTGTTCGACACCGAGCGAGCAGCCGGAGCCGGAGAGCCAGATAGCGAGCTTGGTACGAATGTCGAGATCAACAGCAGTGGCGAGCTTGCCCTTAGCACAGGCCTCGAGAGCGAGCTGGACATCGACACTGAGGTCGGCAGAGACGTCGGCACCGAGGAAGGCAGCGAGGGAGGCCTGGCCTCCAACGGAGAGAATACCGGACTCCTCGACGTGAACGCCGACGGAAGCACCGACAGAGACGATAGAGAGAGCAGCCTCACCAAGGGTACCGATCTCAACGAGACCGTGGCCATGGTGGCCGTTGATCCAGGCCAGAACGGAGACCTTGAGCTCAGCGCTGAGATCACAGTTGGAACCGTTGATCCAGGCGAGGAGGCTAGCCTTGACATCAGCAGTCAGACTAGTGACAATGCCACCAGCAGCGCAGGCATTGAGACCGGCCTTGACGTCAATATCAAGGCCAACAGCGGCCTCAATCCAAGCAGAGAGAGGACTGCAGGGAAGCACTCAGGACGAGAACAGACTCGAGGGAGGAGGCACCGAATATACCATCAATGGTAACGTATAGCTGACCCTTGGCGGCGATATCAGCACACGAGGGGATGTACACGGCAAGGGCAGCCAAGACATCAGCGGAGAGGACGATCTCATCGTCACCCTCACACCAGGAGATCAGGGAAGTTGTCAAAGAAGCCTCAGGGTCGGCGTGGAGGTGCAGCCAGACCTTCAGGGCAGCACGGGCCTCGGCCTGAATGACACCAGCCTTGCAACCCAAGGCACCACCCTGAAGAGCGGCAGCACCCTCGGCTCCGAGACCAGCAACGAGAGAAGAAGAGTGGCTGTGGTGTCCGCCACCGAGGACGGCGCCTGGAATGGACGTCACGTTGACGGTGATATCGGAAACACTGCCGAGGATATCAGCGGGGAGACCGAAAGTACGGCGCTCAACGGCCATATCGGTAGGGTAAGCGAGAGCCGAGCCCGCCAGACCGGCGAGCAGAACGAGAGAGGAACGCATGTTAAGATTTCGAATGTGTCGAATGTGTGATAACAATTATACAGGCCGAACGCTTGCAATATGGAAGGATATAAAGCGAAAGACCGGAAATGGACGGAAAAGCCGCCAGATTAACGATAGACTGGGTAAAACAAAGGTGCAAATGGAAAAAAGAAACAGTGATGAATATCCAAGAACAAAACGAGTGATCTACATTAGGTTTTATACCCCTGATCCCTCGATGGCTGTGCCAGAACACTTCCGGCTCGAATTCAAGCCACCGGGTCGGAATAGAAGCACACTGGCTCTACCCCGGCCTCGATGTCCACAATTGGACTTATCTACCCCTTATGCTTCAGAGATGTCGAGAAACGGAGACCTAGATCTTTCACGGCCGGGTAGATCGTGCTAGAGGCCAGTGAGAAGCCAACAGTTGAAAATGGCGGACCCGCTTGGTAGTCCATTGAGCCTAAGTGGATATCCCTCAGAATTGAGCATCAATTCTGAGAAAGACAAAGAAAAGTGCCTTGATAAAACAAACACGCCACGGGCAAGTGACATGATGCCAAGTCGAAAGGGGCAAAGGTGACTGCACAGCACTAGGCAATGCGTTGATCGCCTCGAGGCTGGAAAAGATCGTCTGGACCCGCCAATGGCGTATTATTTCAAAATAGACAAATCCATTTTTCCACATTTTTAGCAATTAGTTTTCCCTTTCCCCGTGAGAATACACTACTTCCGATGGGGT